TGTGTCCTGTTTGAAATTTGCTACTTATTGTGCGATTATACTCCCAACGTCCACCTCCCCCGCTAACCCACAGTGTCTGTTTCGCTCACTATTACATCCTGGGCGTCTGCCACAGTGTGTAGATATTTCAGTGTTTAGTAGAGAACATAATGCAGTTAGCAGTTGGAGTTTATAGGCATACAGACCTGAATTCGAATCTTGGCATATTAAACTGAACAATGGTGTCAAAAGAAGACACCTGAGAGCCTGAATCACTAGAACTTGTAAATATTACTTAACATGGAAAAAGGGTTTTTGCAGACATTATTGAAGATTTGGGGATGATGACGTGCTGGATTATCTGCGCCAGCAATAGATGAAATCCCATGTGCTTTCAAAAGAGAGGCTTCAACAGAAATGGGAGGGTAGTGTGACCACACAGCACATGCTGCAGTGATGTGCCACAAGCCACGTGGCTGACAAGCTCGAGGCCAGAAGAGGCTAAGGACAGATTCTCCCCCAGAGCCCACAGAGGGACTGGGACCTGATCACACCTTGATTTTGGCACCATGAAATCAATTTCAGACTTCCATCTCCAGAGCTGTGACAGAATACATTTCTACCACTCTAAACCACTTATTTGTGGTACTATAATTTTTTGTGGTACATTTTGTGGTACTGGAATTGAATGCAGGACCTTGTACTTGCCAGGCAGGCACTTAATCTATTGAGCTACCTCTCCGGCCCATGTAGTCTTTTTTTTTTTTTTTTTTTTTTTTGTGGCCAGCGAAGCCCATCTGGGGGTGGGGCTGGCACGGCATGTGGTGCCAGGGATAGAACCGTGGTCCCTGCACACTTGCCTAAGCAGGCACTTTAGACTGCTGAGCTATCTTTACAGCGATTAAACTAACATTTCTAACCCCGCAAATTATTAGTGTGTGTGATCTTGGGGTGGCTATTTAATTCTTTACCTTTCTGAGACTGTGTCCTACTGCAGAGGCAATCACACCCAATGTCCTGGTAAATGTGGTAACATGTATGTATTATGCACACAGCAAGTAGTAGGAACGACAATGGACACTGTTGATGATTGTTAAAACAAAGGGAGGTGGCTCAGTGGAATAAACGCTTGCCTGGCAAGCGCAGGGGCCTGAGTTCAATCCCTGGTTCTGCAAAAAAAAAAAAAAAAAAAAAAAAAAAATCTCTATGATGAATGTGATCATTATATATATCTAAAATGTACCAGTAAAATAAGATTGGAGAGGGGAAATGATTATTAGAATTTGTGTTAGGCATTTTATGTTGGCATCTTCTATTCTCATAGCTGTATGAGTACCCTATCTTCTGCTTTTACAGATAGTCACAGAGAAGTGAACAATTTGCTCCAACTACACAGTCAAAATGAAAAACACTATGAGGATATTTTTGGAAATATTTTTAGACGTTTTTAATATTCTGCAAGTCTTACTGCCCTCAGACACCCTAGCCATCTAAAATAATGGTTTCTGTGTTTCAGAAGAAGGGCAGATATGAGTTAGAACAAAGAAGTGACTGTCAAGTGGGATTTTCATGTCTCTAGCATAGGACTAATCTTGAAAGCCACACTTTGTCATATGAGAGGCCTTGCAAATTCATCATGCATCCAGAAGCAGGACGAGTGGGTGTGGTGCTCTCCCTGACTGAAAAGACAGAGGATATGAAGAAAACCTGTGCTGCAGGGAAGGAAGCTATTTCTGATCTGTACATTACGACAGGATAGGAGACACATTCAACGGAAGCAAGTACTGTGCATCCAACCACATGCTTTCTCTTCCTGGTTCAGTCAGATCTGCAGTGTCCCTGAAAGGCACATACGTTGAAGGCCCAGCCCCAGGGTAGGCACTAGTGGGAGGGAACAGGGCCCAGTGGAAGGAAGTGAGGATGCTGAGGGCATGCTCATGAGGGGTCACAGGACCACACCCCTGCTCTGCTCCCTTCCCTTTTACATCCTGGTCACAAGCCGAACAACTTTGTTCCACCCTTGCTTTCCCTGACACATGGTTCCACCTGGCTACAGCTCAAAGTGATGGAGGTAGATACCATGGACTGAGATCTGTGACATCATGAGCCCTAACAAAACTTGCCTCCTGATCAGCTGATTTTTCTTGAAATAATAGAAGTTAACACATTCCAGCCCCCCCCCCCCCACTGCTGTTGCACTGCAGTTTATCCAGTTTCAACTTTCATGACACCAGCTGTACTGTTTTGAAGGGTAAAGTCTGGTGGGGTTCCAGTGATTTCTCACTGCATGGGGGATAATTCTGCACTAAGGCCTGCAGGGCCTTGTATGTCTGGCTCTTGTGTTAGGATTTTAATTTAAAATGAACCCAATCATAGTGGCTTAGGCAAATAGTTTCTTTTCTTGTCCAGGGCTGGTACAAGGACTACAAAAGGCTCAAGGTGCTGCTATAGCCCGCTCTGCCACTGCCACTATGTGGCTTTCATTATTAGCGTGGAGGGATGGTGCAGTTGCTCCTCCTCCATGAAACTGTTCAAATGGTAATAGAGGAAGGAGGCAAAGACTCAAAAGGTCACTGGTGTTTGTGAAATGCACCAGTCCCCTTCACCAAGAAAAAGGCCTTCTTCCTGGAAGACGCTTGCTGTAGATTATGCTTTCACCTCGACAAGGGCCATGTGGCCCTTTAGCTGCAGGAACACAGTGCAGTTGCATTTTAAATACAACAGTTCCTATGTGTAACTAGAAGAAACCAATGAGCAGTGTCTAACACTCTGGCCCATCTGATCAGGGCCTTCCCACTACCTCCATGTCCAACTGTTTCATTTTTTGAGACAAGGTCTCCTTAAGTTGCTCAGGCTGGGCTTGAACCTGCGATCCTCCTGTTTCAGCCTGCCAGAGTTCTGGGATTCCAGGTATCTACCAACATCTCTGTACCCAGCTTATTATCTGCTAAGTTGCCCAGGCAAGCCTCAAACTTTTGATCCTCCTGTCTCAGCCTCCTGCGCAGCTACAATGATAGGCACGAGCCACCAGGCCTCGCAGGCCTGGAGTTGATTATTCCTCTGGTTTATTATTTTTTACTGGTTTTAGTGTGATGGCTGTAGTCCAGAATGCCCTTTTCCCAACCTTTCCAGTGGCTGGCAGCATCTTGTACCTAGGTCTCTACTCAACCTTTCTGCTGAGAGAGGCTGTGGCTCAGTCCTTTGCTCCTTTTCTCCTTTTTTTTTTAGCCCCTCCTTTTCTCCTTTATCATTAATCTGTCCACAGTCTTCGGATGTGCTGAACTGCACAAAGCCTGGCTAATACATTTCTGGCAGAAGCAGTGACTGATGGCTGCCACTGACATGGACAGCAGACTGCAGAGAATATCAAGTACTGCTATTTTATTTACTTAGTATGTATTTGAAACAGTCTTACAAGGTTGACCAGGCTGGCCTTACACTTCTGGGCTAAAGAGATCCTCCAGTCTCTCTCCTGCACAGCTGGAATCACAGGTGTCTGCCACCACAACCAGCTTGGTATTTACTTTAAAAAGAAAAATACACACACAAACACACACATACACACACATATTTTTATTTTTTTTTTCCTATAACCGGGGATTGAACTCAGGCCCTTGCACTTGCCAGGGAAGCACTTAAAAATATTTTAATAAAAGTACTCTACTATCTGAAAGAGCTATCAAAGATAAGGCTGGCACTAATTAAATTAGTAAAGATTTTTATTGAATAATACTACAGCCATAAAGCAGAGAGTTGGTCATGAACTAAACACTGAAATAAAAGGCTAGAGAAAGGCTGGAGTGTACTTAGGGAAGGGACGGAGGGCTTCAAAGCCTCTGTGTGTGTTGATCCATGTGACTAGCCCATCTGATTTCCTAAATGGTACTTCTATGGAAGAAACTAACCTCTGTCTTGATGACACGTGTTGGTTCAGGTAAAGCGGGATGTTTACCTCTCACAAGGACTCTGCGCTACGGTGATTACTGCCCTGAATGTTCCTCTCAAAACAGTTGAGTGGCTTACATCTTTCTGGTCGGAGGAAGTTCATTGTAAGCTTTCTAAGGCAACTTATCTAGGGAGTTAAGGCCCCAAACTACCTATGACTAGATAATGGCTAAAGCTAAATTCTCACTTCGAGCTTTTCCAGCAGCATTAAGCCAGGTGTTAAGCTGCTGGGGGGCCAAGCAAGGCTATGATCAAATCTTAGTGCAGCGGTCTGGACAGTCACTACGTGCCATGAGTTCTCCAGGTTTTTTTTTTTTTTTTTTTTTTCCCCAAGGTCTGCCAAGCCTGTGATCTCTGCAGTTGAGAGGCTGAGGCAGGAGGAACTTGAACTCATGGCCGGCCACGAGTTACACAGTAAGACCTTGTTTCCAAAAACACTCTAAGTTTTCTGAATGTTTGTTCAACTTGATCTTTCTTTTAGGATGGCCGACATTTTTACATGTCTCTACTTGAGCCACAGTCCCCAAACAATAAAATTTAGAATTTGCCATTATTAATAATGGAATACTTAAAAAGTGCCCGATTACAAAGATCTTTGGCTAACCTGGAATTCCAACTTTCAGAACATCTAATTTTTGACGTTTAAGTTCTTCGTCCGGGACGAGTGTCCATTCCACTAGTTGCTTCGCCTGCGTTCCAGGGTCACCATCGTTCAGGCCTTGTGAAACCCGCAGCGACTGTGGGCTGGGTTAAAAAAAAAAAAAAGGAAGAGGAACGTCTCCAGATGCGGGGTTGCACGTCCGGACCACCCTTAACAACCAACTGCTTGCCCTCTGACTAGGCCCTCCAAGGTTCTGGGATACTTTCCTGGCCTCAGTCAGCGCAGCCCACCCTTACCGGCAGCTCTTCTTCCCGGAACACCCCCGCCCACCCAGGCACCCCGACACGCCCCTCCGCCGCGGCCCCGCGCGCCTGCGCAGACGGAGGCACCGGGCCGGGCGAGGGCCCCACGACGGCTGCACGGCGTTTGCTTTGGGTCGTGCCGTAAAGCGCCACCACGCACTCGGTACGTCTGGGGTCCCGGATGCGTTTCCCCGCCGTTGGGTCAGCGTCTGGGCGTCACATGTTGTTGTAGACTTTGTTGCCCCCGGGAAAGCCCTGAAGTGTTCCTTGGGAGGGCGCCGGTCCTTGTGTGTTCTGGGTACATGTAGCGATTCTCACCCGGGAGTCGGGGTTCCCGGTCCTAGTGCCCGGCGGACACCCGCGCGGGGCTCGGACGGTGCTGCGGAGGCCGAGGGCCGAGCCGAGAGCAGCCTGGCTCCGCTGGGCGCCGATGGCCGCGCGCTCCCTGGGAAAGGCTTTCGCCACGGTGTCTCTCTCAGTGGCCCTGGCCTCAGTGACTGTCGGGTCGTCTGGCTGCCGCAGCATCCCGGAGCGCAGGTATCCCTCTCCTAGAGCCAGCTCCTGTTCCGAGATCCGGGGCTGGGGTGGGGACTTCTGTCCGGCGAAAGCTGTAAGCTTTGCTTGTGTCCGCGTATTTATAGCCCTATACGTACGGGTTTTAAAGAGGCTCCACGGTATATTATCTGCCCTTTGAAGAAAAAGTAGTGTCGGGACTTTTGGTGGTGCGGGGGCGTACTAGGGTTTGAAGCCATTGCCTTTGCATTGAGCTACATCACCAACCTGTTTGTATTTAACAATAGGGTCTGGTTAAATCATTGTCTTTCTCCGGGTAGTCTCGAATTTTGGACCTTCCTGCCTTAGCCTCTCAGGGAGCCGGGTTACAGACGTGCACCATCATATCCAGTTCAGGCGTCTCTGCTGATCCCTGATTTTGAAATTTGCCATCCGTCTTAAATCACCAACATTGTGTGGGGTGGTCTTTTTCTCGGTTTTTTTTTTCCTGATTAATATTACATGTAATAGATGCTGGCTTTATTTTTATTAATGTGAGTACTAGGCATTATTTTCTCTACATGGAAATGCCGAATAGCTAGTCTTTCTTTGTAGTAGTAGGTCGTCTAGACTGGGAAGTCTTAATTAAACCTGCCAGAGCACCTATTTTGGTTCCGACTTTACAGGCTTGGTAGAGCAGTTTCTCCGAGGAGTGGTTTCTTTAACTTCTTTCTTAGCTGACTTGTGAGGTTACTAAGCCTAAGGGCTAGTTCCTAACACTGCCCCTTATAGGAGGAACCCTAGGCTGCTCCCCCTCCCTTTTACATTTTGGATTTTATTCCAGGGCACATATTAACCTTTAGTTTCTGGGGGACTAATTTCCATGGTAATTGCCTCACTGCCCACTTCTGAATTTTGGACCCAAGTGTGAAACTTCTCAGGCTCCTCTTGTGAGAATGGTATTTCTCCCTTACCTTTTTGTATTCTTAGGCATTGCTTGTTTATGGTAGGCCAATATGATTTCATTAAATTCCTGAAATTGTTTAAAATCATCCATTCACTAGTGGTGCCCTTTCTATGCTGCAGTGGATTTTATTTCCTTGAATACAATTTTTAAGTCTTTGGGATTTGGGAAAGGAAGTATTTAATATGCTGCGATCTGTACACCACTAATTCTATTTTTGTTGCCACCAGAATAACGTGAACTTGTACCTGACAGTTCTTTATCCCTTTTGCCCCCTGCCCGTGAAGTTTGCAGTACATAGTACATTAATTGTGAAGTATTGCAATGTATACATAAGGGGTCTTTTTTTTTAAAAAAATTATTTATTTATTTGTGTGTGTGTGTGTGTGTGTGTGTGAGTGTGTGTGGCCAGTCCAGCCCACCAGGGGTCTGGGCTGGCTGGCATGTGGTGCTGGGGGATTGAACCGCGATCCCTTGTGCTTCGCCAAGCTTGCTCTAAGTAGGTGCTCCAGACCACTGAGCCATCTCACCAGCCCCCGATAAGGGGTCTTCTTGGTCCATGAAACAACATATGTCCAGAGTTATGGTCTTCGTACTGGCTCAGAACAGGCTAGTGGGCATGGTGGTGCACGCCTTGAATCCTAGCACTGTGGGCTGAGGCAGGAGGGTCCTGCAAGTTCAAGCCCAGCCTAGGGTATATAGATAAGTCAAGGTCAGCTTGGACTGTATAGTGAAACCTTGTCTCAAAAGAGTAAGAAAAAAAAAGCCCAAAATAGAAATAAAAACCAAAACAAGCTAAAGTACATGTTAAGGACTTGGTATCTAATATTGCTAAGCACCTTGGGAGAGAGATGGGTGTCATCAAAAATTTTCCCAGCCTTGACTAATTGGGGCTGGGGATATAGTTCAGCAGCATAGGGCCTGCCTGGCAAACACAAGGTCTTGAGTTCCAGTTCTGGTGACGCCCCCCCCCCCAGGGCAAAATCGTACAAGTAATGATTTTGTAGTTAGCTCCTGTGATTTGTCTGCAGATTTCACTTTTCCTGAAAGAAGAAAAAAGTATAGATAGTCTTATTCCATATTTGGCACTACAATCCTTTATAGTGACATAAATTATTGGAGGACATTTGTGTTTTTGTTTCTACAAATACATGTTGGGGCTGGAGAGATGGCTCAGTGGTCTAAAGCACCTACTTGGAACTAGCTTGGCAAAGCATCAGGGACCGCGGTTCAATCCCCCAGCAC